TTATCGACAATTTATCAAGGGCTTCTCGATCATTGCTGCTCCTTTGACGAAGTTGTTGAGGAAGAATGTCTCATTTTAATGGGTCGAAGCACAACATAAGAGCTTTGATAAATTAAAGGTGGTTTTGACTCAAGCACTAGTGTTGATCCAACTAGAGTCCGAGAAAGATTTTACAGTGTATAGTGATGCTTCACACTCAGGACTCGATTGTGTTCTAATACAGGAGGGTAAGGTAATGGCTTATGCGTCTCGTCAGCTGCGACCACATGAGTGTAATTATCTGACCCATGATTTGGAGCTAGCAGTAGTGATATTTACCTTGAAGATCTGGAGGCACTATCTTTATGGAGAGAAGTGTTACATTTATACGGATCATAAGAGCTTAAAGTATCTTGTGACCCAGAGGGAGCTTAATTTGAGACAACATCATTGGCTAGAGCTTCTAAAGGATTATGATTACGTGATTGATTATCACCCTGGTAAAGCTAACATTGTAGCGGATGCTTTGAGTTGAAAGGCGATAATAGAGTTGAGGTCCTTAATGGCAAGGATGAATTTATATGATGATGTCACTCTGTTAGCAGAACTGTAACTTAAACCAACTTTGGTTGATGAGATCAAAGCTAAGCAACCTCTTGATAGCTTCTTGCTTCCCATCTTTGAGCAAGTAGAGCAGGGGACAAGCTCAGATTACGACCTTGATCAGGATGTAGTTTTATGCTTTAAGGATTGGTATTGTGTACCTGATGATACTGAGTTGAGGTAGACTATCCTTAATAAGGCTCACAGTAGTCCATATGCTATACACCTAGGTGGAGACAAGATGTACCAGAATTTGAGAGAGAGGTATCATTGGATCGGCATGAAGAATAACATCTCAAATTTTGTGGCTAGGTGTTTGACTTGTCAGCAAGTTAAGGCAGAACATCAACATCCATAAGGTTTGTTACAGTCTATCAAGATTCCTGAATGGAAATGGGAGCGTATTACTATGGATTTTTTATTACTGGACTACCTATGACTCATTCGAAAAAATATTCAGTCTGGGTGATTGTTGATAGACTTACAAAGTTAGCTCACTTCATTCCTGTGCGAGTAAATTATATGTTGGACAAGCTGGCGAGGTTTTATATTTCGGAGATTGTCAGATTGCATGGTGTTCCATTATCTATCATTTTTTATCGAGATCTGATATTTACTTCGAGATTTTGGAAGGCGTTGCATATGGCTTTTGGTACGAGATTGGATTTTAGTACAATATTCCACCCACAAACTGATGGTCAATCTGAGAGAGTGATTCAGGTTCTGGAGGATATGTTGTGAGGCTGCGTGATTGATTTTAGTGGTAGCTGGGAGAACTTTTTGCCTTTAGCTGAGTTTGCTTACAATAACAGTTACCATGCCAACATTCGTATGACACCCTACAAAGCACTTTATGGGCATAGATGTCGCACCCCGATCTGTTGGATTGAGTTGTGTGATCGGAAGAATTTGGGACCTGAGTTAGTGCGCAAGACAGAAGACACATTCATATTGATATGTGATCGTCTGAAAGAGGCATTTGATAGGTAGAAGGCTTATGCAGATCAGAGGAGGAAAGATATCCAGTTTGAAGTTGGAGATCAGGTCTTTCTAAAAGTATCCCCGTGGAAGAAAGTACTGAGATTCGGACGTAAGGGTAAATTGAGTCCAAGATTTATTGAACCATTTCGTATCTTGAAAAGAGTTGGACCTGTTGCATATCGGCTTGAGTTGCCTCCCCAACTCAGTTGTATTCATGATGTATTTCATGTATCTATGTTAAGGTGATATAAGTCACATCATTCAGGTTGAGGAGGTAGAGCTGAGACCTAATTTGTCATATGAGGAGGAGCCCGTTCAGATTTTAGAAAGAGATGAACAAGTTCTTCGGAATAGGCGTATTCCAATGGTCAAAGATCAATGGAGTAACAGAGGTCCCTCAGAAGCTACTTGGGAGACATTAGAATTAACGGAGTCTCAATTTCCTCATCTATTTTCATAAGGTAAATTTTAAGGACGAAATTTCTTGTAGAGGGGGAGAATTGTAACATCCGGAAAAAAATATTATGATTAAGCAATTTGATGAAATTTGGGGATTAAATTAAAAGTTTTCAAAACTTGTAGGCTATTTTAAAAGTTAAAGGAAATTCAGGGACCAAGACCTGAATTTTTCCTTTGAGTGTCAGCATCTTTTAAAGATAAATATGTGCAATGTGTTTTCTAGTTTCATACCAGAAACAATTACTAAATTTTACTCCCCCGGACCCCTCATTTCAAACCCAATCCTGACACCGTCCAGCCACCAATCATCGATCCGAAACCACCATCGTGTTCATTGTCGACCGATGAACAAAACACCGTAAACCGATCGTAGCGAAACACTGTTAAATGACGTGAGTTTTGATTCAAAGTTTCGACCTTTTTTTTAACACCACCGCCATGAAAATCGTCAATTCATCGTAGATTGTTGCTTCATTTTCGACACCTCCCGTACCATTGTGTTCCTTGCATCGTTCCGAGTCCACTGGTGTCCGTCGCGTCTTCGTCGTAGCCGGCACATAAGGGAGGTGAGGAAGTCGAAGTTTTCGACATGTTGAAATTGAGCTCTTCATCATTCAAAATTTTGAACCGAGCTTGGTAAGTGTCTCAAAATAGCTTAAAATAATTTTAGGAATTTTTCAGGAATTTTTCAGACTTGATTGGACTGTTCACGCGCCCCCACGCGCTACTCCTGCGCTTGGGGGAGCTTCAAAAACTGTTGGGGCAGTTTGACCCAGTTTTGAACCGACCCGTTGACCCGACCCGACCTGTTGAACCGATCCGACCTATTGACCCTTGATCGATCGTTGACCATTGACCGTTGACTTTGATCAAAAAGTTAAATTTTTCGAAAAGTCATATTTTATGTTTTTCGACGTCCTGAGTCCGAATCCAAAGTCTTTTTTTACCAAATTGGAACCCGAAAGCCTCAAAATTGTCAGTCAAACCCGTTGACTTTGACTTTGACCAAAAAGTCAAACTTTTCAAGAAGACATATTTTATGTTTTTTGACGTCCTAATTTCGATTTCGCGGTCCGTTTTGCCAAATTCGAAGTCGAAAGCCTCCAAATTGTCAGTCAAACCCAAAAAATGCATATGTACTTAAGAGGTTTAGCTTTGAATGATTAAATAAAGACTTGAGGCTGATTAGTTATTATTATTTGAAGGTACAAGAGACTCTCCTGATCGCTCGACAGCTCGACCCAGCTTCTCTAAATCCGTTAGACCGCGTGTGCCAGTATTCACTCGTATGACCCGTAAATCTTATGGTTTCATAAATTAATTATGTTACCCACTAGTAATATAGTGTTATTATGAATTAGGTTCGAAAATTATAGCAAAGCGTGGCGAGTCCAGTATTCAATAGATCTACAGTTTGACCCTATTATCGAGGTGTGTTCCCTATATATTACTTAATTATTTTATTATTTTAACATGTGGTACACTGAAATCTATGGTTCTTGTTTTATTGATGTACCGACTTAATGTGATGACTTATGGATTATGACTGCTATCTGATTATTGGTTTTCACTCGTATATGATTACAATGATTAAGGATTTATGAAAATTATGTCCCGGTGCAATTGTATTTTTGAGATACTGATTTATAAAGTACAACTCTTATCAAGCTGGAAAATTTTTATGGACCTAATGTGAATCTTAGGTAGGCTCTGCGGCCCTGAGATCATTCTCGGGTAGGCCCTACGGCCTTAAGAGGTATTCAGAGGTAGGCCCCATGGCCCCGAAACTTTCTTGGGTAGGCTCTCAGGCCCTAAGATGTTCCCTTAGGTTAACTCTTTATACAATGGGTTTAAACTACGGGTTTAAAAAGCTACTACATTATGATTTATGAGATTTACTGAACTATTACTTGTTTAGTGTATCTATCATGGTTTTATCGTAATGTTGGGACACATTGAGCCTAGCTCAATTTTCAAAATGTTTTCCTCTTTCAGATACCTTTGGTTAGATACCCAGGATCAAGCACTTGGAGGATCGAAACATATCGTATAGTCCCTCTGAATGTAATGTTTTATCTTGCAAGTTGACTTTATTATTGAAACATGAGCCTTTATTTCGAAGTATTTGATTTTATAACTACTACTGCTTTTGCTATTGATATTTGGTTTACTGTGATCTAGATTATACGAAATGTTTTAAATTAATTTGTTACTTTTTAGTTTTATATTCATGAATTGGGTTTTTATCCTTAATTATTATATATTTTTATAAATGTTATTTGTAATATGATTTTAAATTATCGAACAACGTTTTTTTAAAGAAAATGTCTTTAAGAATCATTAATGTAATATGTTAGATTTGATCGAAACACATAGACTGGGTCTAGGAGGTTACAATTCTGGTTTGAACTTCGATCCTTTTAAATTCGAGAAAAGAATAGATTTGAATCGAACTCTTTTAAGGCAGAATTGGGTTACCTATAGGACGTTTTAAGATGCATTATTTTATTTTTAATTCAATTAGAGGATTTTTTGAATCTAATTTGATCACTCAACTACTCCAATCTTTAATATAAAAGTAAAAGTAAAATATATATAAAATCTAATGACTCCATATACTCTTCGATCTTTAATATATATTATTCAAATGAGAAGATTTAGTGAATCTACTTTGATTTAACATATGATAGAGAGAGTTTTTATTTAATTCATATATATATATATATATATATATGTATATATATATATGTATAATTATAACTCACTTAATCCTTGAACTTATACCAAAACCAAATTGATCATTCATTCAATAATATAAAATTGCCCTTATATTTAGTAGGCGAAATTATCCCAATAGTCCAACAGTTTTCATGTGATTATTTTTTATAATTTAAAGTGATAATAAGATAATATTTATTTAAATTTTTTCTTAATTATCGACAATAAACATACCTTACAGTTGATTGATCTCGAGATCATTAGGGGAATACCTCAATGACAGATCTCGTAAACAGAATAGTAGTAATTTTATAATCACTAAAACCCGCAGAGAAAAACAGCTTAGCAAATTCTTCCTCCTCTCTCTCTTTTCCGCCCACCAACGTCATCGACGCCATATCGAAGAAAAGCTGTGTTTCGATCAAGTTCAAGGCTTCTTCGTTCACTTTCTCATTCTTCATCAACACCATGTCTATTATAATCACCTTCCCTCCCTCCTTTCCATTGGAAATAGCCTTTTTACATTGCTTTAAAACCTTCAAGCATTCATCGTCATTCAAACCGTGCAATACGAACTGTTTACATAAGCATTACTGTTAATTTAGAACAAGCAAAAATGCCCAAAAAGAGATGATTTACGAAAAGGGAAGAAAGTAAAAACCTTTAGTAAAACAGCATCTGCAGCTGGAACTTCTTCAAACATGTTGCCTCCAACATATTTAAAGTTTCCACTATCTTTAAGGCCAGCAACAACTTGAGGACGATCAAACACAATGCACTCCAAGTGTGGAAATGCATCAGCAATTGCCTTGCCCACTGTTCCTGTGTTACCTCCGACATCCACCAATGAAGTCAATCCCTCAAACGTCCCCTTGTAGCTTTCGATCAAAACACTAATAACCAACTGAGAATCGCTGGCCATGCCTTTATTAAGAAGATCGATGAGCTTTGTGCCACTAGAATCGTAGTCCCATAATGCTTTCCCACATGCAGTATTTAATGGGGTACGATCATTATTTTCAAACCAGATGGCAAGAAAATCCCAAGGCTTTGTTAACATAGGATCCAGCAGAGCTTCCACAAGAGGTGCTTGGCTTAAGGGATCTTCCTTTAGTAGGAAACGAGAAGCAGTGGTAAGAACATAACCATCTTCTCGGGAGTCATCTTTTAGCTTTTGTTGTGCAAAGAAGCCCGAATGAACTAAAATACGCATGAGCCGGTACATGTTGCATGCCTTGGTAGGATGGAGCGTCGGTAGTGCAGCGACCAACTCGGTCACAGTCATGGGCTGGCCATGGCTATGAATGATGTCTGGGATACCTAAATCAACAGCACATTTTAAGGACATGGAATTTATGAAGTTGAAAATGTGATTCCAAACGTGAGCTTGAGCTTGAAGAAGCTCATTCACATTCTCTCCATTAACATTGACCTTATCCATCTTAGCCAAAGTCTTTCTGTTTTGCTATGAAATCAGCATTCATATGAATTTATAGACTGAAACATATACATGTAGGGGGGGGGGGCTCGTCATGGTTTTTTATTCATGAATCATATGGCTGAATTAATTTATAATTTTTAATACACCATGTTGAATGCCCATGCTATCAATGATACTAAAAGCTCTACTACCCCTCACCCATGTCATCACCAATAAGATTAAAATTAAATATCAATTATATCAGTATCACGGTGGTCATCGAATCCGTATCCATATCTATATATTTTTCTCATAGATTGAAAATTTGTATATTAAAATAATTGTTTTATACTTTGTGACATGCGTAGTTTTCACGTCAAAATAATTCATTCTTCTCAAATAATAAATAAAGAATATTAAACATAGCAAGAGAGAAGTAAGGGTCAATCTCACGGGGTCTAAGAAAACTTCTTGATTTATGCTTGTTTAATCTATGAGCCAAGAAGTGAGTTGAATAATATTTAAGTTAAGGTGGGGATTTGTGGATTAAAAAAGTAAAATTAATAAAGGTAAGAAAATAAGAGATTATAAAGAAGATTAAAAGAAACATATTTAATATGGTAGAAGTCGAATGTGTTTCAATAAACCGATCCATCCTCCCACACATTTAACCATAACAACATTCTGACCAACATCAATCTTTTGTTTTGAAATCGTTTTGATTTTGAAAACAAACTTAAAGAAACTGAGAGAGATATCTGAAGTTGTTTAAGTGCTTTTGAATTCCCACATTGGAATTGATTCATCGCTTTAGCCCTCAACTTGAAAGAAAATTAGCTAAGCATGACAGAAGTCATACTTAGCATTAAAAATAAAACTTTTAAGAAAAATTAAAGAAAAAGAGCAACAGTAAAAGAAAAATAACTTTATAAAACTAAAGAAGAAACAAAAGGATTCAAGAGATGAGAGATGCTTTGATAGGGGTATTTATAGTCTCTGTAAAACCTTAAAATTATATTAAAATCCTAAAAAATAATTCTTGAATTTAAATCCTAAAAATAAAGATAAATCCTTAATTTAAAGCGGCTAAGTCTTTTGCTTCCACGAAAATGTTGGTTGGACCTTCTAGAAGATACTGATTGGATTCCACGTTAGTACTTTCATGCCCAGTTTTATGCCCACTATGTCGCCCATGATTTTGGAAAAATAAAAAAGGGTGTAAAACTTCATCTTTTAAGCACATTTTCTAGAAGTTATTGTTCTGCATAAAAATCATGAAAAAATTCCCAAATCAGCAATAATAATGAACAATCAATAAGTATTTAAACATAAAATATAGCACAAAATGAACAATAGTCAAATTCCCCCTCACTTATCTGATGCTTGATCTCAATCCTTTCTCAATCAACATGCCAAAATCATAAGTCGTCATTCTCCAATTCACATCATACTCTAATCATCCCAATGAACCAAAATCAAAGCAATTAATTGAAACTAGACAACAATCAAGCAAGTGGCAAAGCTAGGAAATAAGTTAAAGCAAAACAAGACATTCTAATAACTTGCTAAATCTCATGATGCAAAACTCAATACTCTCACAAAAGATTCACTCATTCTACTCAAAGTGTTTAAGGACAAAGAAACATTCAAGCCAAAACAAGTTAAAACATTACCATAAACTTGTAATTAAATCAAATATCTACTACTTAAAAATGAATATGATGCGAAACTCAAGAGGTCTTTAAACCTAGTTGTAACATGGATAAGATATGGGTAGGATAAAGGCCAAAAACTGGGTTTCAGTTTGAGGAAAAAGAGAAAATCATTCCACAATTTATTCTAAAGGAAGCAAGTGAATAGAAACCACAAACTCTCTTTTTTCTTTCAAACTTTTCTATCTTTCTTTTTCGTTTTTCTGTTAGACTTGAGTCTGCTGTTTTTTATGTTGCATTGTATAGTTTTTTCTCTATATAGTTCGAACCAAATTGATTTTTCTAAATCGATTTTTTGCACTATTAGAACAAAACTGCACTGTATTTTTTTTACCATGTTCGAACCAAACTGCACTATTCGAATAGTGTAATTTTTGTTTTTTTTTCGAAGGGACAATCTTACCTTTACCTGAAAATGGGTGACAAGAGAGGGTAGAAATAAAAATGGTTTTGGTTTATTAAAGTGGTAAGACAAAGAAAGAGGTTAAGGCTCAAAATTAGCTATCTATTGGAAAAATAAATGAAAGGTAGGCCATTTATTTTTGTAAAGAGAAAGGGTTTTATCCTAATGCCTCTATTATACTAAAAATCATCAAATTCATGCATGAAGTCTCAACAATAATTAAACCACAAGTTCTAGAATGCTAAGACTAGTTTGGCACACACAAAGAAACAAAGAACAAGGATAAAAAGGGTATGCTCATGTTAACTTCCTAAAAAGGCTACTTTTAAGGCCTTTTTCACTTAAGTTATTGTTTGTTTAAAAGCTCATCTTAGACATTTTAGGACCATGTAGTTGCATATAGTGCATTTGTGGTGGTTGTGCTATTTTATTTCTTAATGGTGCTGTTTGAGGGAAAGGTGCAGTTTGTTTGTGGTGTGCAGGGAATAGCAAGAAAAAAGGATTCTTTGGGAAGTAATGCCGCGGCATCACACGTTGCTAAAGAAGATTTCCGGCGGAGAAAAAGATAAAAAAAATATTTTTGCATAAGGGACAGCTGGCACTGGACAGCTGTCTCTGCACGTGAAGGACTGCTGTAACCGCCTGCTAGAGCTGCCAAAGGACCACTGCCACTTGGAGGATAAGGTTCACACCCAACATGTGATTCTAGGGGTATGAGGGGTATTTTGCACCCAACAACCTCATCATTACCCCTAGATATTTTTTATTATATATGACACCTCATGGGGGAGAAAAAAAGAAAAATGAGGAGGACATATACGGTAGTAAAAATCAGATTTTTATTTTTCCTTTTCCCTTCTTCTTCCTTGGGATATTCCTCCATTGATAAAGCTCCAAAGAGTGGCGAGCTAGGAGCCGAAAGGAGCTAGCAAGATAGGTGGTTCATGGTGGCCGAGAAGAGACCTCCGGTGGCGCGTCGAAGGCTTCTTCTCAACTTCCCTTTTTGCTACTATTTTATATTTATTTGTGGGTTGTTGGAACAAATATTTTCATGATTTTGTGTTTGGATATTTTGAACCCCACCATGAACTAACTTATTTGGTTGTGGTTGATTTAATGATTGTTTGAACTTTATTTTTAATGATATATTTAAGTTTATTTTGGTTCTTTATTTGCTTTGCTTATGAATGCTTCACCATCTAGGCTTGTAAGAGGCATGGAAATGTCCATTTCTTAGATGAAGGTTAGGTATTCGGAAGAAACGCAAGATAAGATCCTCATAAGCAATGGGTTATAGTATTTAAAGGGGCTTTAAACCGACCTAGGAGTATTATAATATAATCCCTTAGATCTCGGAAGAGACTAGGATAGGATTTCAATGACTGAAAAGGGTGTCTTTATCAATAGGGTAGGCTGTCCAACATCGTTGAGTGAGAGCAGATGCCTTGGCATCCTATTCTGTTAGGTTCTTTAGAACACTTTAGGAAAGCCATGTCGAGTAAGTAAAGACCAGTTAGCTTAAATATACTTGAGAAATAAGTTTAGCATCCTTAGATCAATCCCTACCATTCATTCTCTTAGAAGCTTATCACGTGAGGATTATATTCTTTTTATTTTATTTTCTTTTTATTTATTGTTTTTACCATTTTTCATTGCCTTGACATTTCACCATACTCAACATCAAACATCCATCATTGTCATTGCATTTCCATTTTCTACACCATCAGACCATCACTACATATCCACCAGCATACACATTTACATTGCCATGACATTTGTATATATCAAGACTAACTATACTTAGATAGAATAGTGCATTGCTTTGGTTAGACTTTTGTAATTTCACCCAATCCCTGTGGAGGCGATACTCACTCATCATTATATTACTTGAGCGATTGTGTATACTTGCACATTATTTGCGTATAATTTATAGTACTCACAACACGCGAACAAGTTTTTGGCTCCGTTGCCGGGGATTGGTAGCCTGAAGTTATTTAGTTTTGCCATAGCATTTTATTTTGTTTTGCATTTTTATTTGTGTACAGTTTACTTGATATTTTTGTTTTACTTTCAGTTTTATCTAGTGTATTCCTAAAAGAAATTCTGAAGAGCCTTTGGAACCAATAGAACCTGAGATTGAAAGACTCTTTAGAAGAAAAAGATGTTCTAAAAGAAATATGTATCAAATTGGAAACCAAGGCATTGGTCAGGATGATGGAATTCATAATGCCGTGGCATTAGACAATGTTGATCCTGCTGTTAGGCCGCGCGTTATTCGCGATCACTTAAATCCGATGCTGGATGATCTGAATCCTGGGATTGTGGCACCTGAAATTCAAGCTGCACATTTCGAGCTAAAACCAGTCATGTTCAATATGTTGAATTCTATTGGACAGTTTGGGGGTATGCCAACTGAAGATGCCAGGCAGCACATTCGTAATTTTTTGGAAGTTTGTGATTCTTTTCGCCAAGAAGGAGTGCATGAGGATTTTCTGAAATTAAAGCTTTTTCCGTATTCATTGCATGACCGAGCAAGGGCTTGGTTGAGTGGTGTACCAACCGGTTCTATGGAATCATGGGCCGATCTTTGCAAGAGTTTCTTATTGAGGTACAACCCACCAAACATGAATACGCAGCTAAGGAATAAAATATCTTCTTTTCGCCAGGGCGACGACGAATCCATGTATGAGTATTGGGATCGTTACAAGAGTTTACTTCGGAAGTGTTCAAATCATGGTTTTCATGATTGGACTCAAGTAGTCATGTTCTATAATGGAGTCAATGCACCCACGAGGATGTTACTGGATGCCTCGACAAATGGGACATTTCTGGATAAAATCACCTACTAAGGCGTTTGCTATATTGGACAGAATTACTAATAATGATTATCAGTTTCCTTCCTCAAGGCTTGGGAGTGGAAGGAGAACAC